AACAATGTCACACACACACATACACACTCTCTGAAGGCAGCTGGGCCTGAGCAGCCTTGGGAAGGCCCATGCTCAAGGAGCTGAGGAGTCGGCCAACGGCCACACGTGTGGACTTGGCCTCCATATCCAGCTCCTCTGTCAGGTCTTCAGGGACCGCAACCCCCACAGGACTTTACAAACTCAGGAGATACTGGAGCTACAACCACCTAACTTGGTCTCTCCCAGCCTCTTGAGCTCAGAAGCTGCGAGATATAAATATTTGTGTTCCCACTTGCAAACTTTTGGAGAGATTCATTAGGTGGTCATGGCTAGATCCCCCCAGCACCCTCCCTCCTGGTTCCTGTCGTGTAAGCAGGGAAGGCTGCACTCGTGAGCAAGCAGGGCAGGTCTGAGTGGGGCCTCATCCACCGAGGGTGGGGCTGCCGGCTCCCCCATTTCAGGCAAACGTGCCTGTTCTTCCTTGCCCACACCAGGCCTGGTCCCGGTGATGACTCCGTCACAGCCATTTGCTCTTTATACTGAGAATGTGCCGAACCCTCACAAAACCCTCCTGAGGAGGGCTCAGCAATTCTGCCATTGGGGGCTCTGCAGATAGCTGGGAAGTATGACGGGTGTCACCCCTGTGTCATCCTGGCCCCTGAGGCAGGTGCCTCTGTGCCCTGTACTAACCGAGCCCACACATGCAAAGGGCTGAGAGCAGCGGCCAGCGCACAGTAGGTGGCATCTGCGTGCAGCCTGGTACAGCCTGTTGTCTCTGAGGGTCGGCTCGGGGTGTGTGCTGATAAATGTGCGTTGGGCAATGTGGTCGCTGAGTGCAATCACACCCCCCAGAGGGTGCCCCTGCCCCAGGCTGAGGCTGTGTGGGGTAGGCAGATGGGACCCAGCCATCTAGGCGTTGTGAAGTGACACACAACTGTATGGCCACTGTCATCTGCCCTCCCCACCCCCCCCACCCCCACGCACAGTGTGTAGATGAGACGACAGAGGCTCAGGGCTCCATCCTGGCCTCCCTCCAGCTCTGCACCACGCCCTTGCCCAGCCCCTCTGCTTGCTTGCTCCTGAGATCCGGGCTGCACTGGCTTCCCTTCCACAGGTCTCCCCACCCTCTCAGCACTTCTTCTCTCCCCACTCCCCCTTTCTGCTTTGCAGCCCCACTCCACCTCTACCCCCTTCTCAGCTTGTTAAAAAGCACTTTCACTTAAAAAGCAACTTCACATGTGCAGGACCCTTGCCTTGGGTCCTGCCACAGGTCCCTGTGATGCCGTCTGTCTGAGACATGAGCATGGGGACGGGTGGGCGGTGTCGCACCTCCTGTTTGCTCACACGTGTCCTCCTCACTCCCGGGAGCCACACAACAGAGTTGCCATGTCCCTCAGCTCTCTGTTCAGGGCAGCTTTCCAGGTGTCTGCTGCGCAGCCACAGTGGAAACCGCTTCTCACCGTCCTGGAGGCTGGGGGCCAAGGTCAGGGTGCCAGGGGCCGGGGCCATCTCCCCAGACTCCTCCTTGTCTCCTCACAGGGGCAGGGAGCAGCCCCTTGGAGTCCATCTAAGGGCACAGATCGCCCTCGGGAGGGCTCCATTTCCATGACAGAATCACCTCCACAGGCCCCACTTGCTAACACCACCGCCTTTGGGGCTTAGGTTCCAGCATATGGACTTGGGGTGGGATGATACAGATATTTAGCTTTCCTTGTTCCTCACGCCCTTGACACTCTGAAAGAACATAACTGGCTCAGGATTATGTTGACTGAGCACTTATTGGGGTTTGGGAGAAGGTGCTGGGTTTGGGAGAGATCCCCCAGCAGCAACGCACAGACTTTCCCATGGCACGTCAGAGACACAAGAGGCCACCACAACCCATCACCGGTGACACTGACCTTGACCCCTCAGCCCGGGGCAGGCGCGTGGCCTGTTCTCCACTCCCCAGGCAGTGTTTTCAGAGCACGCTCAAGACCAGGCCTCACCACTGCCGTGACGGAGTTTGCTTTTCGGTTTTGGTCTTTGCTATCTTCCCTCTTACTGTCTCTCCACACTAGGATGTAAGTTCTAATCTGGGATTTTTTGGGTGTTTGCCATGTTTGTATTCACACACAGACAGTCAGTAAGTACCAGGGTGAAGGAACTCACCCCTCCCCCCTTCCTTTGGGAGGCCACGGTATTTGCTTCCCTCGTCTCTGCCCATGTCTGTTGGGCCGGGGGTGAGCTCTGTGACAGGCCCTGAGCCACACCACGTCGGCTTGGGGACGTGGTGAGGAACTAACAAGCAAGCTCAGACTGGGCACAGCTGTCTGCTGTGGCCTGAAGTGTGTCCCCTGGAGACTGGGCATCATTCCCACATCTGGGTCCCTGCAGGCAGAGGTGGGAGCAGAAGCCTCCTGGGAAGGCCCGAGAGCCTCAAATGTGATTGTTAAGGGCTGAATGCCCTCCCTCAGTTTATGTGGGTGCCCAAGCCCCCAGTACCTCGGGAGGTGACTGTATTGAAGACAGGGCCTTGACAGACATCATTCAGTTCACTTGAAGTGGTTAGTCCGATAGGACTGGTGGACACCGGGAGGCAGGCCGAGGCCAGGACACACACTGAGTGAAGACCACCTGAGCACCCAGGGAGGAGGCCAGGAGGGAGGCCCCAGAGGACCAACCCACCGATGCTTTGACCTTGGACTTCCAGCCTCCAGAGCTGTGAGACACTATATTCTGCTGTGGAAGCTGCCCAGCCTGGGTACTTTGTCATGGCGGTGGCGGCACGGTAAAGAAGCAGCAGTAAGAGAGAGGGTCCTGTGGGATCAGTCACCCCTGGAGAGGTGAGTACCCTGCGTACTGTTCCCCTTATTTCACTGGGTGGATGAGCTCAGTTAAAAGAAAGGGGTATTGAAGAAACAGGAGTAGGTGGGTGTGAGCGCCCCCTGGAGGGCTGAGGGGAGACGGGTGGGTGTGAGCGCCCCCTACAGGGCCCACTGGTGGTGACTGCTGGTGAGCAGACTGGACGCCCAGAGTCTGCTGGATGCCCTGAAATCAGGATGAGAGAGGAACCTCCGGCTCCTCCAGGCCCCCCCTCCGGAGCCACTGGCCAGGTTGAGGGCTCAGGTGGTCTTCCACTCCAGGCTCCTCAGCAGCATGCTCTTCTTGAGCTCCCTCTGCCTGGCAGCCCCTCACCCACCCCCGAATCTGCTATCTGCTGAAGGGCCACTTACTCCTCCAGACCAGCTCCTTTTAGGCACAACTTAGCTGGTCCTCAGCAGTTCAACTCATGTGCTCTTCCCCTCTCTCCACTGCCATACCCCTTTGCTCAACCCAGGACCTGGGGACCTGGAGTTGCATGGCCTGTGAGTATCTGAGCCCTGGGCGGCTCGCTGCCGAGGCCCACCACCACCAGCCGCCCGGAACTCGCACGGCTCACGCAGGCCGCTAGCTCGTGTTCACGTGAACTTTAGACAGCGCTGACTCTGGCCTTGCCCAGCTCTCACACGCAGGGCCTCCCCTGGCCTTGGGCTGGTGGGTAAACTGCCAGAAAGGTACTTGCCAAAACAGCCCAGGCATTTTCAAGGGGAAGGCACACGGGAACGGGTCTGATCCCACACCGAGGACCCAGTCTGAAGTGGGGTCCCCAGCCCCAAGCACAGTGCGGGTAAGCTGTGTGGGTGCTGCTGCAGCCACCAGCCAGTGAGTGTGCCACCTGTGCCCCCGAGCCTGGACCTTGCTGTCACCTGCTTGGGGCTCTCCTCTGTAAACAGGTGTCCTGCTCTCCTTGTTGGGGGGATTTAAGGGGTCATGTTGCAACGTGACCAGCGGGGGCTGGCAGAGGCCAGTGCTTTGGAGGGGCATTAGAGCTGGGGGTTCTGAGCCGGCCATTTCTAAGGGACACCCCTTGCCATCATACAGCCCAGACTCCAGGCCCAGAGTGGCGCAGCTTCCCGGGAAACACTGGGTGGCCAGGCACTCTTGGCACCTTTGCGACTAATTTGGGGACAGTCTGAATGAAGGACTCATTCACTCACTAATCCATTCACCTTTTAAAGTGGTCGATCCCTTCCTTTGAGAGCAGAGGGAGTGTGGTGGGTGGAGCTGGGTGCGGGGAGCTGGTAGCTGAGATGCTCGGTGTCCTGGCCGTGCCTCACTCAAGCAGAGCAGGGGCTGGGGAGGGGCTGGGCTCCGGGGTCACTCTCCTTGCGTTCAGTCCTGCCCCCACCTGTGACCCCTGCTCTCTGCCAGTCTCGCCTTCCTCATCTGCCTCCTGGGGACACCATGATAGGTAAATGCAGGCCCCCAGATGCCAGTTGAGCACCAAGCCTAGAACAGGCTCAGCTATTACTGTCACCACCCCAGAGCTGCTTCTAGAAGGACCAGGGACCAGTGACTGCAAAATGCTTTAATGTTATTGCTGACATTAAAATCCAGAGTGAGTTGCTGGTGTCTTCACATGACACTTTCTACTGTCTGCACCAGGCCTCCATCCTCTGAGCAACAGCCACGCAACAAGAGTCGGGAATCTGAGGGGGTGTCCTGCCTCGACTTACCCTGTCCTGTTTCCTCCACCCTGCTCTCCACTTGCTTTTCTTAAAGGACAGGTGGCACTCGAGTGTGTTGATATCAAGTGTGAACTGTAACAACACGCCAGCCTTTTGCAACAGAGCATCTCCAGCTTTGTGCTGGGCATCAGGGCCCCGGATGGTGGACTTCTCTTTGCCACTGATGTGCTGCTGTGTGACCTTGGGCAAGTTGACCAACTTCTCTGGGCTCCAGTGCTCACCTCCAGGAATAACCTATTCTCCAAGTTTTTCCAAGAAGATCAAATGTTCTTCATCCTTCAAGGGTGTGTCTTTCAGTGGTGTGGCAGGAGCAGTCATCACTACATCTACATTATTACTATCATTATTATTAGTGAAAGCCTCATTAGCCAACTAAACCTGTGTAAATCATGAGCCACGCTCAGAAAGGGGGCCAGAGTGTACCCTGGCCTTCCAGAATGGAGGTCTGGGGCCTTTGAAGAGAACTCCCCCGTGTCAAGGGTGGTTCACTTTGGCAACAAAGAGGATATTGGTGGAGTTATCCACGATGAGCATCAAGAAGGGCCTGTTGAACATTATTCTCTGGGTGATCATCTGGGCTGAGCGGAACGTGAAGATGGCCGCCGTGGCTGCAGCCGCCTCAGTTCCTGACTCGTCTACCTTCAACACGGCTTTGTGCACCATCTGCAGGAGAGACACCAGACATGACTGAGTCAGCGGGGGCGGGAGATGCCAGCACAGGAGGAGGCCAAGTTCTGCTTGTGGAATCATGACCAATGTCTCCACATAACGGGGCTGGGTAGGAAATGACACAATGGAGCAATAATGGTGCACAGGTACTGGGCTTGGAGAGATCGCACAGGCACCTGGCTTGAAGAGATCGTACAGGTACTGGGCTTGGAGAGATTGCACAGGTACTGGGCTTGGAGAGATCCCACAGGCACCAGGCTTGACGAGATCACACAGGCACCAGGCTTGAGTAACTACACAGGCACCAGGCTTGGAGAGATTGCACAGGCACCTGATTGAAATCTCATAGCCTCTCACAGTGAGGGCGTGACTCTCCAATTGTCTAAATGATCAGAGAGATCCAGTAATTGGAGGTCAGTTATTGAGCCAAGGAGCTAGGGCCTGGTTCTTACTTTTCATGGCTTAAGCCAGTTCCTCCTCCCAAGGCACCATGATGGAATGGACTGAGGGTGAAACCCAAAGAGAACTTTGACTTTTGAGGGGAGAGGGAAGAGGGCAGGCAGGAGAGGAACACAGAATAGAGTCAGACGGAACAGGAGTGAGTCAGATCAAACAGCACAGCACAGAACCGAATTGAAACGAACAGTGGCCTCTGACAGCCGCTGCTCAGGAGCCAGCCTCACCTCAGACACCTCGATGTTGCTGTGGTCAGTCATGCGGGACAGGTCAGCGTGGGAGCTGAAGATGTCTCTGATGCCCATGACCGGGAGGATATTCTGCAGCTCATAGGAACACTCGAGGGAAAGCCTGGGAAGGTAAAGACTGAGCTGCCTGGAAAGAGAAAAGGGCATTCTTAGTTTCTTGTAGAGCAGCTGCTGGCGCAGCCCGGCTGCCTGTCACCACCCCTTGGCTTGGGGGGCTCCCCTGGCGCCCCGGTCTCAGCAAAGCCCTCCCCCTGCGGACTGGGGCTCAGGCTGGCTTCCAAGGTCACGCCCATTCCACAGCACCCCGGGAGGCCCCCAGGAGACCCGGCTTCCATCCTGCTCCTGGACAACTTCACCTGAGGCCTCTGGGCTTGGAGGCAGCACAGGGGCCGGGGGGCAGAGGGAAGATACCTCTTTGTAAACGACTTGAGCCACTTCTTGACGGTTTTCTCCGTCAGCCCGTTCTCCACCTGCTCCATCCTGCCCTCGATGGGGAGGATGAAGAGGGCGGTGGTGTTCCCCTGGTAGGGCACGGCCACCACCTGGCAGGAGAGGCTGCGGTCCATGAGGTAGCGGTAGTAGTCCTCGTTCCTCATCATCACCACCCGCACCGACTTGTCCGGCGTCACGTAGAAATCCTGCTTTCTGCTGTTTTTGCGGCTGAAGGCTGACTCCCACTTCGCTGGGGAGACAAGTAAAGGGGATGGAGGGGGCTCGGTGCGGGAACAGGGAATGCACAGTTGCAGATGAAAATGGGGTGACTACCACGGGGAACGGGGCCCTTCTCGGCCTCCACGCCAGGGACAGCGCCCCCGCATGCAAGGGCCCGGCCCCTCAGAGGTTGGGGGAGGCCGGGACTTCTTGTGGGGCTTGTGTTTCCCTGTTTGCAAAGCAGGAGGGTGATTTGCAAGCTCGCCTTCAGAGGCTCTTAACGCCTAATATTTGTTGGCCTCTCAGATGTTACTCCAGGCCTGCTCTCCTTGAAGAGGGGCTCCCAGGACGTGCACAAAGCCACACTGCCCTTTTCCCAGGGTGGGGCCTTGAGCTCCGTCTGGGAGAGGGGCCTGGGAGCTCCCCGCCAATGCCTGGCTTTTCCTGCCGGGAGCCTTCAGCTGCCCCCCACTCTGTCTCCTGTGGGACAATATGTCCAAAGCCCCATGGGCAGTATGTCCACCTTCTCGCCAGTGACCAGTGTGGACACGCCCTGCAGCCCACTTTGCTAATTCTGCCCACAGACAGCCCTGGATGGGGCAAGCCCGCAGGGTGCAGCACTGTGGCCACAGGAAGAGGGGAAGGGCCAGCGGCCTCACGGTTCTCTTCCACCTGCTCTCCTCCCCGCGTCCACCTCTCTAGCCCTCCTCTCCCCTCCCCTTCCTCTCCTCCCCTCCTCTCCCCTCCCCTCCCCTCC